ATTCTTGAACAGAATTGATATATATATATATATATATATATATTTCTCGAAGTTCCTACAAAATGAGTCAAAGCTATAATATATAGAATTTAGTTGGCTTATGGTGCAAGTTAGATTAATCACGATTAGTTATCTTGTACTTAAACTAATTAACTCTAGTTAAATGTCTAGAAGTCTAGTTAATTGTCTAGAAGCTTATAGAGCAAGTTATGCTAATCCTAGTTTAATAATAACCTATTTAGCTTAAGTTAACCCCAATTACCTAACTTAATCATTATAACTACTAAACTAATGATTAGTTTTGCTAAGTTGTTGAGATGTCATTATCAAAGCCATGTGGACATCCAAATTAAATAAGCCAAAAGAAGTTTGGGTCATCTAAGCCCAAATAAGTCTAACAAGACTTAGCCAATTACATCTCCCCTAATCTATTAATTACATCTTCAAGTACTACAAGGACAAGATTACCTACATTATTTGACCCAATGCAAGGCTAAAAATATCCTAATACCATCACTACTAATAAAAATGTATAACAATAATAGGAATATATCTTTTAAGGTAAGGTAAGCCTCCAAAGGAAGGATACCTACAAAATAAGGGTAAGTACCCTATAATTCTTCAAACTGACTTTATCAACTTTCATCCTTTCTGGACTTATTTCTTCTAAAGGGATTATTAGGAAGTAGGTTTCCATCAACTCTTGTAAGAACTTCTTCATCCACAATATCTCCTTACAACCCTCTGTAATTGCAACGAACTTTGCTTTTGTGGTGCTTAAAGCAATGCACTTTTGTAATCATTATTGTCATGTTATAATCCCCATGCAAAAGTAACCAAATATCTTGATGTAGTGTTTCTCAAATGCACATCTTTTGTCAAATATTCATCTAAGTACCGAAGAAACATTAAATTTCCTTTTTCCAAAAATATAAACAATTTTAACTAATTTGTTTTAGATATCTTAATATTCATTAATTTCACGACATTCCAATGCTCCTTTCTTAACTTTGACAGAAATCTGCTCACAACTCCCACAACATAAGAAATGTTTTGTTTTGTACAAATCATTGCATACATAAGGCTACACATTGTAGAAGAATGGGTGATGGAAAACTTGGAGTGGAATCGTATTGATGTTGATTCCTCTTCAGGCTTCTCCCTAGATCTTTGGCTCCTTGATTCTTCTCAAGCTTTTCCAAGTTTTCCAATGGAGGAGAAGATTTGGATTTCACCAAGATTTGGTGAAGAACACTCTTCAAGAGGCGCCACTCCATGGAAGAGAGATAAGCCATTTCAATCCTCACCACACTCTTGTATGAAGAGGATAAGAGAATTGGATGAATATCAAAGAGGTTAAGACTTTTAGAAGAGAGAAATTGGCTGAACAATTTCGGAATTCATCCTCATATATCATCAAAAGTGATTACAAAGGTAAGAAAAAGGTTTATATAGAGTGGGGAAACTTATGGTGCAAGCTATGTTAACTATGGTTCAAGAGAACCATGGTTAGCTTAGCTTGACTGGCCTAGTTGGTTTAGGAGACTTATGGAGAAAGCTTCTAACTAGAAGCTTGGGAATCAAGCTATGTTAGAAGCTTGTAGCACAAGCTTCCCAAGTGTGCAAGACAAGCCAAGTAATTTGACCAAAGGATTAGGCTAGGCGGCCAACGCTTGTTTTTCCATATTTAATCCAATCCAAAAACTTGGAGTTGGTTTAGTTAGGTTCACCAAATGATGGTGAAACCTAGCAAAACCAATTTCTTAGAAAATATGGAGCAAAACAAGCCTAATATGTAAAATTTGGCCTAGGCCCAATTCTGGCCCAATTACTTATTAGTTGCACCTTCACACCTTGCTATTTATCACCCCACTTCTACTACTGAAAAATATGAAAATGAATGACCCTTAATACAAGGTCAAATGGAGAAAAAGTCTCTAAGTAACATACCCTAAATTCCCAAAGGATAACCTATAATAAAAGAAAGAAAGTGTCTCACAAATACAAAGGCAAAATACACCTATACAAGCAACTACTATGTACAAGTATCATACAATGTATATACAATGGAGACTAAGAGACTAATAAGAGGAATCATACTCAATGCTCATAAAGAGCAAAGGTCTAAGAAGCACCTCCTCTATAGAAGTCTCC